TCGACTTTTCATTTCGACTTTGACCTCCAAAGTCGAAACATTTCGACTTTTGGGTTTTCATTTCGACTTTATGTATAAACCTGATATAGAAAACACTATCAATCAAAAGTTAAATGAAGGATTGCAAGCCATAATGGCTAATATCGGATAATAACAATAACAACAACAACAGCAGCAACAACGTCAACAATCACAATGACCTCAATCTCAACAGTGTTTTAATTGTGAAAAATTTGGGTATTTCACTAAGGATTGTCAAGGTAGTCGTAATAGCAGTAATTAATCTAATAATGAATATTTCAACTGTGGATTTAAAGGATACTTCACATGTGACTGCAGAAGCAATAGCAATAATAACAATAATAATCGAGGTTAAAATGTCCACAACAATAATAATAATAATGGAAATAATAGAAATTATAACTGTAATAATAGTAGAGACCATTGGAACAACAGCAATAATAATAACCGTAGTAGTAGCAGAGATCGTTGGAGTAATAATAACAATGATAATAGGAATTACCATAATAACAATAATAATTTCAATAATAATCAACAAAATTTAAACTAGAAGTCGCACCTATCAGGGATGAGCATGCGAACAAACCAAAGCCCTTAAAACTGGAAGAAGGAAATATTCAATACGAAACACTGATTGAAGGAACTAATTTAATAGAGGTACCATATGTTTGTAGAGGAATAGAGCTGAGAATACATTTTGGAGGACCATATAAAAACAAATATAATCACTCTAGTTGCGAAGAATATGACCACCATAGTCACATAGTATGTATTAACTGTAAAAAGATAGCCCAAGGAATAGCCGCAAGATGTAATTGTAAGGAGGTTAAATGGAAAGACCCAGTAACAAAAGAAAGAACTTTTGATAAAAACTGGCTTATTATAACAGTGGATTCCCAAAAACAAGGAGAAATCATCATACAAAAGAGGCCTAAATACGTATTAGGAATTTTATATGAACAAAGAAATTCATCTATCGAAAAGGATAGATCCCAAAAAGGAAATGTATAATTTGTGGCAAATGGTCTGCGGAAAAGTAGAAATGGGAGAATCATCAATACAGCAATAATAAAAGAAATCGATGAAGAAACAGGAATAAAGCTGAACAAAGATCGCTTGGAATACATTTTAAATGACCCCACTTATAATTGTGATGTATATAAAATTAAGTTGAAGGATGGGTTACTACGACATACAGAACTAACCAAACATGGTGAATGGCAGCACTTTGAATTCAATAAATATTTGCAAATGGCTGGATTAAATGAATTAACACCGACACATAATAAATTTGGAGAATTATTTGTGATAAAATTAAAGGAACAGACTGTTATTACTTACACGAGTCAGGATGAACCAGTCAAAGATGCCCTATATATTGAAGCTAAAATAAATGGATACGATGTAAATGCTATAAATGATACCAGATCTGTGAGAAGTATCATCACCACACGATTCTTGAAACAGATTAACAAAACTATTGACAGGCCTGCAAAAATCAAAATCATGAGAGTAGATGGTAATAGCATGATACCAATGAAAATGATAAAAGGAATGCCAATAGAAGTCAATGGAATAGAGATCAATGAAGATATGTTAGTAATTAATGCTACAGGGTATAATGTGATCCTAGGGAATACATGGTTACAAAAAGTCAATGCCATTATTGATTTTGAAACAAGTATATTAACAATACAACAAGAAGAGCAAACTTCTATGATACTAATAACCTGCACACAAGAATTAAACCCAGGAGATTTACACCCATAAAAGCCAAAGTAACTTCGGATAAACTTGAATTTGAGGATGAGAATGAAGATATTGAGATATAATGATGTTTTGCTATCATTCCTAAGGAAGTGGAACACGCTATACATATCAATGGAAAGGAATATCCTGAAATATACCTACAACATTTAGAATATGAATTGAATGTACAACAAAATAAAAACTAGAAAGGACCAGCTATATGTTGGTGTCTAAAAATAATAGAAGCTGGAAGCTAATGTGATAATTGTAGGGAAATTATGAAGGATGTTCAAACATATCAATATTACAAGAATAGCATGAGAATACAATCGACTTATAAGGTTCAGCTAGAAGAAAATAATATTCATATAGAAATTGGTGAAAATACAGGAAAATATACTACATATGGAAACTTATCGACTAATGTAATAACAAAATTAAAAGATTTTCTTGTTAGAAATATTAATAGTTTTGCCACTACTATACAAGAGTTCATATATTCTGACCAATATGAACATTGTATATTTACCGAAGAGATACCATCAGTTGCATTAAAATCGTATCGAATATTAAGCAAGGATGATCAGTATATTCAACAAGAAATCAAAAGTATGTTAGAGCAGAAAATAATACGACCATCACGAAGTCAATGGAGTTCACCAGTAGTACTCGTATGAAAGAAAAATGGAAAAATAAGATTTGTGTAGACTACAGAAAATTAAATTATGTCACTATAAAAGATCGATACCCATTACCAAGAATTGATGAATTGTTAGAATCTTTAGAAGAAGCAATATGGTATAAACACTTGACTTAACCTCCGGATACTGACAGTTCAAGGTTAGAGAACAGGATAAAGTTAAAACAGCATTCATTTTCAAACACAGATTATACGAGTTTAACGTTATACCTTTTAGGTTGTGTAATGCACCTGCTACCTTTCAAAGAGCCATAAATGATATACTATGACATGTAAAAGAAAAATTTGTACTTGTATATTTGGATGACATTATTATATTTTCTAAAAGCTACGAAGAACATTTACAACACCTTCAATATGTATTTGATTTATTAAGAGAAGCTAATTTAAAGATAAATCCTGAGAAATGTCATTTTTGCGATAATAAAATCCAATTTTTAGGACATGTTATTTCAGATCAAGGGATACAACCGGATCCAGCAAAAATTGAGAAGATTGTTAATCTCAATGCGCCATTCAATGTGAGGTAATTACGAACCGTATTAGGATTGTTCTCTTATTATCGACGCTTTGTTAAGAACTTCTCCAAATTAGTAACCCCTTTAAATGATCTATTGAAAAAGGATATACAATACAATTAGACAAAACAACATCAGGAAATATTTGAATTATTAAAGGAAAAATTGACAACTGCACTGATACTAAGTTATCCTGACTTTGATCGACCATTTATATTAAGCACTGATACTAGCATAACGGGGTTAGGAGCATTATTATCATAAAGAGATGGAGATAATAGAGAACATCCTATTTGGTATGCAAGCAGAACACTGAGCCCAGCTGAGAAGAATTATCATATTACTGAACAGGAAGTACTAGCAGTAGTATGGGTAATAAAATACTTCAGAAGATATCTGGAAGATAATAAGTTTACTATTTATACTGACCATTCAGCGTTACAATAGTTATTGAATCAACTAATGAAGGAAAAAGATAGTAAAAGGATTATTCAATGGAAGATTATCTTGCAACAATTTCAATTTGAAGTGAAATATCGCAAAGGAAAGGCTAACGCTAATGCTGACACTCCATCACAGATTAATGAATTACAGGCACCAAACTCACTCAAATCAACATCAATAATAGATCATGGATGAACAATAATATAATGATATAATTCGATATCTCACTGATTTCACATACCTAAATAATTATGACAACTCTCAACGGAAACAAATACAATGATTATCAACCCACTACATAATTAAAAACACACAATTGTACAAAGCAACAAAGAATGGACTAAAAAGAGTAATAACACATGATCAAGTGGAAGTACTTCTCTTTAATTTATATAAAAATATGACTGGAGCCCATTTGGGAATAGAAGCTATTTATCATAAAGCTAAAGATCGATATTATTGGCCACAGATGTTCGAAGATATTAGAAAATATGTTAAAAATTGTGATAACTGTCAAAGGCGAGGACCAACTGTTAGGAAAGAACCATTACAACCTATTCTAGTCAAAGCACCCTTTCATAGAGTAGGATTAGATATTAAAGGACCATTACCTGTTACCAAGAATGGAAATAGACACATCATTGTCACTATGGATTACTTTACAAAATGGCCAGAAGCTAGAGCTATTAAGGATATCAAAGTAGAAACAGTAGCTTAATTTCTGTATGAAGAGGTTATTTGTCAACATGATGCACCTGAAGAAATACTAACTGATCGAGGAATGTCCTTTATGAATCAAGTAGTTGATCAATTGTGTCAAAAGTTTCAAACAAAATATCGGCTGATGTCACCTTACTGACCTCAAACTAATGGTATGATGAAAAGATTTAATCGTACTATTGGAGAGTGTTTAGCTAAATTAGTATATGACCAAGAAAATGAATGGGATAATTATGTATTATCAGTACTATTTGCTTATCGTACCATAAAACATAAGAGTACTAATTACACTCCATTCTATCTTATGTATAGACGACAGGCAATATTACCAGTCGATCTACAAATAAATTCAGTCAGCACCAATGATGAAGCGATAGATAATGCTTTGTTAAATAGATTAATAATATTAATTGATAAGCTCGAATTAAATAAACAAGATGCACTTGATAATATGAATCAGACACAAGAATGACAAAAAATTCGACACAATGATCACCGAATTTCAGAAAGGTTAAAATAGGCAAAAAGGTTCTAGTAGAGAAAACATGAAAACAACGAGATATGTCTGCAAAATTAGAGCCTCAATGGATAAGACCATATTACATTCATGATATTGTTGAATTTAATAACTACAAATTAAGATCCATTGACGGATGAGTAGTCAAAGGAACCATACATGGTGACCGCTTAAAGCAATATAACGAACAGGAGATAGAACTAATAATAGTTATTACATAAATTAGTGTTAGGATGATTATTACTATTTTAGTTTTATTTGTAATACTTTTATTATTTTACATTATTTATTAGTAATTGATTTAGTTATATATATAGAGAATATTAGTGAAAAAGAATTCTATTTTCAAAGAAATGGCACAAGTATACCAGCTTATATATTCTGATTTATTAGTAGTAACTCCTATAATTATAACATTACCATCTTTACCACTAATATTCTCTCAAAATGCAAGTACAAAGATAAAAATATTCTTTCAACATGCTCGATAACAGATAACATTGAATAATAGGAGAGAATCATTATTTTATCTTTATCATATGGGACAAATAATTAATACAGAATGTATGACTCAAAAAGATTCTACTTTATCTAAACATTACTTTACTGTATCAAAGAGAGTATTTCTTATATTTGAAGGTAATATTAAGCAATTAATGAGAACTCAGAACACGACTACAGCTCTACTTGTAAGATTAAAATTAAACGACCTCAACGAATTAATTCACTGTAGTTCATTTTTAAAGGAGGGGATATTGTAATATAAGAATCAACCATAGATCATATGACGATAGAACAAATCACCTGATTTACTACGCCAAGTATCTGCCATATCTGCCAGTTCTAGCAGATCTGTGAAATACATCAGTTACACGTGATATGCCAGAAATATAATATATGCTAGATATTTAAGAAATGGCAGATATCTTAAAAGTAAAGTTACATGAAAACCTGAAGAAGCCAGAATTTTCTTTTTTATTAATAATTAATTGATATTAATAATCAATTACATATCTTGTATTTCTTATTTTATTTATTTATATTATCAAATTTCTTATAAATAGGGTAGCTTTAGAACTTCATAAACAACAGAGAATTTACTTAGTTTTATTGTTAACAAGATAATTACTAAATACACTTGTATGCCAACAAATACTTTTGTAATAATTCTTTTCTTTAATAAACTTCTAAATTACTTAAACCGTAAATTATACTTTGACCTGAAATATATTTAATCAATAAACCTTCAGAAGCTCTCCATAAATCGTATCATAAAGTCTTAAAAGCTAAATCTTTTGTTAATCTTACGTCAATACTAATTTTCAGTCATTAGTATTATAAGATAACAATATAGTAAGTTATATATTTTATTTATATCATTTTCTTTTGTAGATAATAATGTATTATAACTGAAGGAATTTGTGTAATTGAAATTTAAATAAAGTAAATAAATAAATAAATAATATAACTAAAGAAAGTTCCCATAATGATTTTTAACATATTTAACTAGTTGCAACTTAAGTTGCAACACTTTGAGTTGCAACATTTTATGAATTTTTATATTAAAATAAATTTACAAGAAGTTGCAACCAAGTTGCAACTTCTTAATTATGGTGCCTATCTTTAAATATAACAAATAAATTGTAATTTAATAATAGAATATACCTTTAATAAAATGCATCAAACTTGTGATGCAATTTCATTTTTTTCATGGATATTTTTAATTATTTAATGAATATCATCATATGTATTTACGTGTAAATCTTCAAAATTCATTATAGATCCTACAATACAACTTAATTCTTGAGAATATATTAATTTAGAACGAACTTTTATACAGTCGATCATTGCAACTATTAGTTTATTGAACTTTAATGCATTAACAGTTTGTGCAAATCTAGCAACATTTTCATAAATCAAAGTTGGATTTGTTAATCTATCCTCATCCTTAGTTTGCAAATATTTAAAATAAAATTTATAAATATTATTTAGTTTAGAAATATAAAATTAAAAATAATACTATAATTATCTGATTAATTGTAAATCCATTTCAGCAACATTTTTTTAAAGTTTGTTATTTACAACTGCTTTCTAATAATAAACTAAAAAAAATAATGTAAATGTTCTGAATATCTTAAACCTCTTTTGCTTTTACCTTTTGCTTCTAAATCTTTTATTTGTAACATTAATTTAATGAATTCTTTAAAGGTTTTATTATTATTAAACATTTCTTTTTGATTATATTTTACTAATTGAAACCACATATTAGATTCCTTATACTGAACTAATCTAAATAATTCTTGAAAATTTTCATTTTGTAATAATTTTACCAAAGCATTCTTTTGTAACTAATATTTTGGAGTATGCTTAGAAATTTGAGTTGTTGCATGTTTCTATGAAAAAAAATATATAAATAAATAATAATTTTGATTTAAAAAATAAAAGAAAATCAATATATATTATTTCTAAAGCATTTAATAAATTTTGTTTGATTTTTATTTTATGTATTTATTATAAATTTTATTTGTATTAAGAGTAAACAATTCACATTTTGTGCTTTTAACTAATAAAGTTTCTTTTTTTATAATCCATTTAGCATGTGCATGCAAAATAGTTTTTTAATTGTTATAATTCTTCTGAAGTTAATTAAAATATGAAAATTTAGAATTTTTGGAAATTTCTTTGGAAATAATCTTTTTGTTATTACATAATCATTTTTTGAATTTTCAAATTCAGCTGGACTTTTGATTACATAATTTTCAATCTTTTCATTAATTAATCTAATACAAGCTTAGAATTTTGTTCTGTTATTACTGATTGTTGATTTGATATTTTTGAAAAATATTTTATTACACTAACTTGCTTATCAGATCTAACTTGACAACTATTACTTCTTACATAAGTAATCAAATTTTTATTCCTATATGCTTAATACAATTTTATATTTATATGTAAATTAACATCTATTTTCATTTTATACTCAAAATCAGAACTACTAGTATCATCATCATCAGAATTAATATTGAAATTTGAATTAGAATCATCATAAATAACTTTTTTGATATTATGTTTACATAAATTTTTATTAATAAGTGAAGAAAAAAATTTAATAGAGTTTACTGGTTACTTGTTTTTTAATTCAAAGTTATTAATTTCTTTTGATTTTCCTTTATTTTTGGAATTTGTATATAGTAAAGAAAAATTTAAAATACTTTGAATAGTTTTTGAATTTTTTGAAGATTTGCCACTTATTTTTATTTTGTAAAAAAAGATATTTTTTGTATTATTATATATAAATTATTAAATTTCAAAATACGATCAACTATTATTATTATCATAAATATATTACCTATCTTATATCTAGAACATGATCACATGTAATTATAATTTTACTTATATGTATTTCTTAGACTTAAAAGTATTACCCTTTAAGAAAACTGAAAATATTTTTTTGTAATATAAATTTTACCCTTAATTATCCTGTAAGATTTTGGAAATTTTTATATGAAAAATACCCTTAAACTTACCTGAGAGTTCATATATAAGTTTTCAGGATCCTGTTTAACTCTTAGTCATAGCAGATTATAATAGTATTTACAGGAATTACCAATTCAATTCTGGGAATGAATTTAATAAAATGTGTATATACTATATATATTGAAGGTTATGAATTTGTAGAATATAGTGATTCAGATATTGTCTATATAGTGTGATGATAGCTACCACCAATAAATATAAGTTTATTTTGTTTAGATCTAAACCTTCTTGATAATAAGTAAAGGTTATAGATAATATCACCTATCATGAACCAATTGAGTTTAGAACTGATAGTATAAGCTGGTCTATAATGGATAAGTGTTACATTACAGTCCCCAGCGAAAAGAATGGCGGAAACGAATTTTTATGGTATGTACTAACTTTATTTTTATTGTAATTTTTT